GTCTTCCACCAAAGGTGGGTAAGAGAAATTAATCTCTTCAAATTTTCTTCTCGATGTTGATGAATGAGAAGAGACTCCTTGTAGATCTTGTAGCTCCAATTGTGTGTTGAGGAGATTGAAGCTTGGAGCTTGTAGATCTTGTAGGAGTTGATGTAGATCTTGAAATTTTTTCAATATCTTCAATGCTCCTTGGATAAAATCCTAGATCCACAAGCTAGGATCCTCTAAAAAAAAAATAATCCAAGTAGCAAATGGCCACACAAGGCCAAGGAAGGACCTTGCTCTAGTATAACACCTCGCTACCCACTGGGTCAAAACGAGGGTGTTATTTGGCGCAGCGGATTGCCCTTAACACTAGCCCACAGGCGTTACACTCGTCCCCCCCTGGTTGCCAACGTCCCCGTTGGCCCTCAACTTCAGAGAGTCGGCCCCTCCGCAAGGACCTCCCTGGATCGTTCGCTGGGTTCGAGCTGGTTACAACCACACTTCAGTTCTCGCCAAAGGCGGAAAGTGTGAACCAGCCAGGACTCGAACCCTAGGCTCTGATACCAGTATAACACCTCGCTACCCACTGGGTCAAAACGAGGGTGTTATTTGGCGCAGCGGATTGCCCTTAACACTAGCCCACAGGCGTTACAGGGGGGGAAAGGAAGGGAAGCAGTGGGGGAACGGAAGGGAAGCAGGGGCAGAAAGGAGGGGACAGAGGAGCGCTAAGCGGGTGAGGCGCTAAACGAGTGACGCGCTAAGCGGGTGAGGCGCTAAGCAGGTGAGGCGAGCAGCGGGTGACGCGCAAGCGGGTGAGGCGCTAAGTGGGTGACGTGCTAAGCTCGCCGGCCTGGCCAACGCATGGAACGCGTTGAGCCCGCCGAGGGCAACGTGGCGGGGCATGAAGGAGGGATGACGGCTGAGTTACCAAAATTGTCTATTTTGAATGCAACGATTGCATTGCGGCGATCCCGCCGAGCGCAACTCGCCTACGCGCCTAAGAAATAGGTTACGACAGGCGCGCCGCATGCACGGCGGGCTCGGCGAATGCCACACGGCGTTAGGAATGCCGCGCGGCAGGGCAATCTGAAAGGGAGATGCGGGGCTCGATTGATGGTCGTTTTCGAGGCGTAGCATAATCGTACATGTGTAGATACTCATGCGCGACTATGTGAGATGTCGCGCTGTTGGTATAGCAGCCTCCAGCCGACCTCCTATAGCCATACCGCGGACATTCCTAGTTGTCGATGATTCAATCGCCAAGTTTGTGAGCCCTGCTTCGTAGTCTGGTGACGGGAGATTTTTCCATATTGTGACCCCCCAACCCTGGTTCCCCTCTTCATATTTTCGCCAACCTCTCGCCAATCTAATTTTGAGCTCGTTGTGGCAAAAACGCCTTGCGTACTGTAGAGCCTCAAACAGTAGTTGCAAATGTATACTGCTGCTTTAAGCAAGGAAAGGGCAACACGGAGTGAGGAGGGAGGAGGCAGAAATCGAAAGGGAGTGATAGCGTGGATGAAAAGGGACGAAGAAAAATGGGGAAACAGAAGGGGGTTGCGTGGGAATAGGAAAGGGATAGAACATAACTACAAAATCAAGGGTGCCCAGGCACTTCTAGCGCGTTGCATGGCTAAACTCACCTGGCACTTGTGCACTCAGGTGCTCGGCAAAAAACAATGCCAGAACCCGCATCCAGACCTGGTAGGGTCGGTGCCCGATCGAGTCGGGACTTGGTAGGAAAATGTCCAATATAGCCTGGCACCTGTGGCCGCAGAACCAACCTGGCACTTCAGCAACCAATGTCCTCAAAGCAAACTTCTATAGAAGCTCAGCAGCGAGCAGCTCAGCCTCCACCAGATAAGACTCCCAGCAGCAACAACCCACCTGGCACTCCCAGCAACAACAACCCACCTGGCACTCCCAGCAACAACAACCCACCTGGCACTCCCAGCAGCAACAACCCACCTGGCACTCCCAGCAACAACAACCCACCTGGCACTCCCAGCAACAACAACCCACCTGGCACTCCCAGCAGCAACCCACCTCACGTCAACCAAGGATGTGCTCGAGGCGTTCTTCAGCTCAGCAGTGAGCGGTTCAGCCTCCACCAGATAAGCCTCCCAACAATCTACGTGACACTCCCAGCTTCAACAACCCACCTGGCATGTCAACCACGGATGTGCTCGAGGCGTATCTCTTCTTCAGCTCAGCAGTGAGCAGCTCAGCCTCCACCAGATAAGCCTCGACTCCAGTCACCCGAGTCACCTTCTTGTTGCCCTGCCGCCCCCGCACAAACATCTGCACTGGCTTTTTCTCCCCCTTCCGCTCCACCCTCCTCCCCCTCCCTCTCTCGACCCTGTGTCGTGCTTGCATATGCAGCAGTAGCATGCGCCTTACCTCCCACTTTATGGCATTCTGTTTTTAAGTAGACTCAAAACTAGGCTGTTTTGAGTCGATTAAAAATTAGGCATTTGCAGCAGCAGCATGGGCCTTACCTCCCACTTCTGGCATTTTGGTTTTGAGTCGAATCAATAATAGGCTGTTTTTTTAGTTGACTCAGAAACAAGCATTTGCAGCAGTAGCATGGGCCTTACCTTCCACTTCTGGCATTTGTTGCTTATGGAGGAAAGAGGGAGCAGATGCCAAAAGGCATGTGGGTCGAGCCCCACTGCTTCAAAAACAGGAGACACATTATGAAACGGTTTAAACAACTCTGTTATTGTCACCATGGTTGTGTTAGTGCTGGTCTCAAACGCTATTCCTTGCGTTTCAAAGGAGCTACCTTGAGGTGCAGTTGTAGGGGCTTGGGCGGATTTGCTTGTCTTATGTGGCTAGAATCGATGAGGGTCTGATGGCGGTGCGTGCCTCCTTGCCACTTATCTAGCAAGGAAAATGGCATAGGGAACATAGCAGGCGGAGTATAGCAAAGGGAAGGGAGCATAGCATAGGGAACATAGCAGGCGGAGTATAGCAAAGGGAAGGGAGCATAGCATAGGGAACATAGCAGGCGGAATATAGCAAAGGGAAGGGAGCATAGCATAGGGAACATAGCAGGCGGAGTATAGCAAAGGGAAGGGAGCATAGCATAGGGAACATAGCAGGCGGAGTATAGCAAAGGGAAGGGAGCATAGCATAGGGAACATAGCAGGCAGAGTATAGCAAAGGGAAGGGAGCATAGCATAGGGAACATAGCAGGCGGAGTATAGCAAAGGGAAGGGAGCATAGCATAGGGAACATAGCAGGCGGAGTATAGCAAAGGGAAGGGAGCATAGCATAGGGCATGGCAGAGGGAACATAGCAAGGGGAGCATAGCCGAGGGAACATAGCAGGGGGAACATAGCAGGAGCAGAGCGAGAAGGGAGAGGGGGAAGCGGAGGAGGGGAGGGTGGGGGGGAAGAGTGGAACAGTCCGTGTGAGAATCTGTGTGGTTACATGGGTGTGTGGTTACCAGCGGGGTAGATCTCGGTGCCGCGGCCGTCTCAGTCGAAAAGCATAGGCAGCCCGTACACCAGCACGCGATTCACCAGCCTCGTCACCGCCACGTCACCTCCACGTCACCGCAACGTCAGTCTGAACCAGGCGAACAAGCCAATCGGAGTCCCTTCCTTGAAAAGTAATCTTGGGAAATTCGAAAAGACTAAACCACAAAGGACAGTGGGAGTGAGGAGAGCGCAAGCACCTCTAGCATCAGAGCGCATTAGAGGGCATTAGAGGGCATGAGTGCGCATCAGAGCGCATTAGAGGGCATCAGAGTGTTTCAGGACGAGGTGGCTAAAAAGAATGGCGGGGATTTAATACGTGGGTTATCAGGTGGTTGCGAATGCGTGGGCCTACGTGGAGGTAAACCGCGAAGGCAATACGAGTTTCAAGCGGGAGACACTAAGGAGCACCTTGGGCGGCAACACCTTTCAGACGTCTCAAAAACTACTAAGGAGTACCTTGGGCGGTTAAAACCAGGGTCATATGTACCAATAGGGAGATCAACTGCAAAACACTCGAAGGGCAAGGTTACCATGTTTCATTTTCGTGGGTCGGAGTGGTTGGGTTGACACTGTCAAACATTATATGTTTATATGATTGTAGGCTGTAGTGGGTTACACCTTAGGGGGTACACTAGATTAGGGTTTCCTACTTGTATCCAACTTTGTGCTAGTACAGTCATTCCTCGTTCAGTTCTTCTGACAAGGTTTCAGAGCAGGTCCTTCGCTAGGACCGTTCTTAGGGCCCACCGCTACCTACCTACCTACCTACCGTGCGCCCTCGTGCGCCTACGCGCCCTAGTGCGCCTCCTACCTACCGCGCGCGCGCAGCCCGCCAGCCACTCGCGCGCGGCTCGATTTTTTTTTTTTTTTTTTTTTTTTTACCGCGCGCGACCCGCTAGCCGCCCGCGCGCGGCCGATTTCTTGAGCGCGCGACCAGCTAGCCGCCCGTGCGCCGCTCGCACCGCTATAGCGCAGCCCGCAGCGGCCCCGCCGGCCTGCACATTGCCGCCCGCGCGTAACCGCCTGTGCGCCGCTGCAGCTGCCGCCCGCTCGTCGCCCGCTGCTGCTGCCGCTACCACGGTCCCGCCGCTGCAGCTACAGCCTGCGCGTCGCCCGCAGCCCCTCCCGCTCATGCGCCGCTGCCGCTGCCGCCCGTGCGCTGCTGTCGCGCCTGCTGCCACTGCTGCCCGTGTGCCTCTACTGCGCCTGCTACCGCTGCCGCTGCTGCACTCGCTCCCGCTGCAGCCGCCGCTACTGCGCCCGCTGCCGCTGCCGCCCGTGCGCCTCAGCTGCTGCCGCCCGTGTGCTGCCGCTGCCGCTGCCGCCCGTGCGCCTAAGCCGCTGCCGCTCGTGCGCCGCTGCTGCTGCCGCCCGTGCACTACCCCTCCTTCGCCGCTGCTGCCGGCCTGTCGACCCTGCCGCTACCGCCCGTGCATTTTTTTTTTTTAGTGGCCCCGCTGGCCCCGTTGACACCGCCCACAGCTTCCCTGCGGCCTCATTCCTACTGTTTCTACCGCTACTGCTACTGCCGCTATGGCTACTCCTACTGTACTTACTTTCGATGCTGAGGGCCGTCCAGTGAAGTTCGAAACCTGGCTCGATGACCTCCACCTCTTCCTACAGCTCACTGCTAAGGAGGACATTTCACTGTACGATCACGCCCTAGGCAACGCTACTGCCCCTCCTACCACTGCTGACAGCACTCAGCGCTCACAGTGGCAGACTCGTGACGCCCACGCTCGTTTCGCTATTCGTAACTCCCTACCGATCGACGAACGCGAGCACTTTGGCCAGCACAAAACTGCTAAGGACCTATACACTGCTGTAGTCGCTCGCTACTCCTCACCCGCTTCTGCCACACTAGGCCGCCTCACCCTCCCCTACCTGTTCCCCGACCTGGCCTCCTTTCAGACAGTTGCTGACCTCATCACCCACCTTAAGACTAGTGAGGCCCGCTTTCGCGCTGCTATGCCTGACAAGTTCATTACTAGCAACCCCCCCCCGCTCTGGATCACTCTCTACCACATAGTCACCCGCCTCCCCGACTCCCTGCGCACAGTCAGGGACCACTTCCTCTCTCGCTCCCCCACTGAACTCACCATTGCCCTCCTCGAGAAGGAACTACTTGCAGCTGAGGCGAGCATCGTCGCTGTAGGCACCTCTCGTGGCGACCCCCGCACCCCATTCTTTGAGGGGTGTTCCCCTTCCCCTCTCCTCCCCTCTGTCGCCTCTGCTGCTGCTGTCGACCTCCTTGGTGCTGAGAAGGTCGGGACCGCGTCTGCTTCGAGCGGGCGCCGCAAGAGCAAAGGGGGCAAGGGTGGAGGTGGCGGCGGAGGAGGTGGGGGTGGAGGCGGTGGGAGTGGAGGAGCGGCTGGGGAGGCTAGTGGCGGCAGTGGGGGTGGTGACAGCAGCGGCGGGAGTGGCGGCAGGGGTGGAGGCGGCAGCGGAGGCGGAGGTGGTCGTGGCAGCGGCAGGGGTGGAGGTGGCCGAGGCGGTGGCGGCGGCGGTGGTGGTCGTGGAGGCGCTGGCGGTGGTCAGAGTCAGCAGCCCGCCCCGTCGCTTCAGGCCGCCCGTGAGTGGTATGCGCAGCGTGGCTTTACCTGCACGTACGTCATTCGCACTGGTGACCGCACTGGCCAGCAGTGTGGGAGGCAGCACCCCACGCAGCGCTGTTTCGCGCGCCTTACCGACGCGTGGCGTGCCCAGTTTCCTGATGCCACTGAGCTGCCCCGCTGGGCTGATCTGGAGAAGAAGGGAGTTGATATCTGGGCTTTAGACTTTGATGCTATTCTCACTGCCATGTATGCGATGTTTACTAGTGGAGAGGGTGCTCAGTACTTGCGTGTTCCGCCCGACCCGGGCATTCAGACCAGTCCGGCTGCCGCTCTAGGTGCTAGTGAGTCTGCTGCCCCAGGTCCTGGTGAGGCTGCTGCTCTAGGTGCTAGTGAGTCCGTGCCCGCTGGTACTGAGTCGACTGCAGCACTGCACACCTTCACACTGGACTCAGGTGCTTCTCGCTGTTTTTTTTCGTGACCGCACTGTCCTTGAGCCACTCGCTCGGCCAGTTGCTGTCTCCCTCGCTGACCCCTCTGGGGGTCCGGTCGTTGCGACCTCCTCCACTGTCCTTCCTTGTCCTGCGGTCCCGTCAGGCACACTGTCAGGTCTCTACCTCCCCTCGTTCTCTACGAACTTGGTGGCAGGTAGTGCGCTCCAGGACGGGGGTGTTCACCAGTTCACCCCTGCTTACGAGCGCGTGACACACTGCACGTGTGCTCGGACGGGCCGTCACCTGGCTACCTTCACTCGGCAGCCGGGGTCGGACCTGTACACACTGACCACTGCGTCCCCTCAGGTAGCTGCGTCCGCGTCTGCGTCTGCGTCAGGTCAGCTGTCCGCCCCCTGCTCGTGTCGCTCTCTGGCGCATGAGACTGTCCTCTGGCACCACCGCCTTGGTCACCCGTCTGTGCAGCGCCTTCGGGCCATGCACAAACGGGACCTTGTTGCTGGTCTTCCCAGGGTTCTCCCTCCCCTCCCACCCTCGCCTGCTCCTCCCTGTCTTCCCTGTGTCGAGGGGCGGCAGCGCGCCGCTCCTCACTCCTCCTCCTTCCCCCCGACGACTGCTCCTTTGCAGACGCTCCACATGGACGTAATCGGAGTGATTGGCCCTGGTTTTATGGCAGGTTGTCAATCACATCAACCGGCTCCTCTCGGGATGGTCCGGACCCCCACCCGGCCTGGGTGGATCCGGTTCCCACCCGAGATGGTCCGGACCCCCACCCGGCGGTTCTCAACCGGGATGGTCCGGACCCCCACCCGACCCGGGTGGACCCCCACCCCCTCAGGGTGCCGCTCCCTCAGGTGTGTCCCAGGTAGACCCGGTTGAGCCTGTCGAGGTAGCTGTTGACTCTCGTCCTGCTGGGGGTGCTGAGCCTGACCGTGAGGAGTCTGGGGGTGCTGAGCCTGGGGGTGCGGAGCCTGGGGGTGCGGAGCCTGGGGGTGCGGAGTCTGGAGGTGCTGAGCCTGGAGGTGCTGCGTCTGGGGGTGCTGCGTCTAGGGGTGCTGAGCCTGGGGGTGCTGAGCCTGACCGTGCTGAGTCTGGGGGTGCTGAGCCTGGGGGTGCGGAGCCTGGAGGTGCGGAGTCTGGAGGTGCTGAGCCTGGGGGTGCTGCGTCTGGGGGTGCTGTGTCTGGAGGTGCTGAGCCTGAGCGTGCTACACCTGGAGGAGCCCTCTCCTCCCAGCAGCTGCAGGAGAGGTACCTACAGTACTGCCGCCTCCGGAGAGGTGCTGCTGGAGCTCGTACTAATACTTCCCCTCCTACCCAGGAGCTCCCCCCCATTCAGCAGATCCGAGAGTGGTACGCGCGGCGCTGCAGTCTTCGGAGTGGTGCTCCTGGTGCTGCAGACCCTGGGGGTGGCGCTGCTACTGGTACTGAGGACCTGCGCGGTGGCGCTACTGCTGCTGTTGAGGACCCGGGCGTTGGAGCTGCTGCTGGTGCTGAGGACCTGGGCGGTGGCGCTGCTGCTGGTGCTGAGGACCCGGGCGTTGGAGCTGCTGCTGGTGCTGAGGACCCGGACGTTGGAGCTACTGCTGGTGCTGAGGACCCTGCTGCTGGTGTCTCTGCTGGTTCTGGAGACGCTGCGCGGCCGCGACCGTACTTCGTACCGCTCCTTCAGCAGGTTCTTGGTCAGGCTCCTTCTCCTTGTCCTCCTCCCTCCGTAGAGTGTCCTCCGCCTGTCCAGCCGCAGTCACTGTTACCACCTACCTCGCCTCTCCCTGCTCCCTCTCCTTACACTGGTCCCACGGGAGGTCTTACAGAGCCTGAGTCTCGTCCTGCGTCGCCTGTTCGTACTGCTCGCACTGGTCGTCGTGTCCCACGTGAGCGTCCTCCTCCTGTCCCTGGCACTCACTACATGACTCTGCGTCCCTCCACTGCTCCTCAGCGTGTCCCGCTACCGTCTCCTCCTGCTTCCTCTCTTCCTACTCTTCCTGACCCGGAGTCTGACTCCCGTCGTGCTGCCAGTCCCACTGTCACGCGTCTCCTCGCTACTGTTGTCACTGACCCTACCTTTGAGTCCTCTGCTGCGTCTGCGCTGGTCGCTGAGTTGGTTGACTTTGCTGCCCGGTGTCGTCTAGACTACGCTGCTAGCCTTGTCGCTGAGTCTGAGTCTGTCTGTCCTCCGTCCGTCGGGGGTGAGTGTGCTCTTGGCACGGACGTCCTTGAGGACATGCAGGAGGAGTTCCAGTGCCTTGCTGCTGTTTTGCCCCGTCTCGTGTCCTTACTAGTTGCCCCTGAGGGAGACCCGGATGCTCCTGACATCCCGACCCCGCGCTCTTACGCTGAGGCGATGGCGGGTCCCTACTCCTCTCAGTGGCAGACAGCCATGGACGCAGAGATGGCTTCCTGGAAGTCCACAGGCACCTACGTCGACGAGGTTCCCCCTCCTGGGGCGAACATCGTCAGTGGCATGTGGATTTTCAGGGTGAAGCGGCCGCCGGGTTCTCCTCCTGTCTTCAAGGCGCGCTACATTGCTCGAGGCTTCAGCCAGCGAGAGGGAGTAGACTTCTTCCAGACCTTCTCCCCCACCCCGAAGATGACCACCCTTCGGGTGCTGCTGCACATAGCCGCTCAGCGCGACTACGAGCTTCACTCACTTGACTTCAGCACTGCTTTCTTACAGGGCAGCCTGCACGAGGAGATCTGGCTGCGTCGCCCTCCTGGTTTCACTGGGTCGGTTCCTCCTGGTACCTAGTGGAGGCTCCAGCGGCCGGTCTACGGTCTCCGCCAGGCACCACGTGAGTGGCACGACACACTGAGGACGACACTTGCGGCTCTAGGGTTCGCTCCCTCTACTGCTAACCCGTCACTGTTTCTACGCACAGACACCTCGCTGCCGCCGTTCTACATCCTCGTGTACGTCGACGACCTGGTCTTTGCCACTGCTGACACCGCGGCACTCGCCCACGTGAAGTCGGAGCTGCAGAGGAGACACACGTGCACAGACCTGGGGGAACTGACGAGCTATCTTGGCTTGCGGATCACCCGGGACAGAGCACGGCGCACCATCACCTTGACTCAGTCACACATGGTGCAGCAGATCCTTCAGCGCTTCCGCTTCACGTACTCCTCGCCTCAGTCCACTCCTCTGCCTACCGGTCACTCGCTCTCAGCTCTGCCTTCGGATGAGTCCGTAGAGCCGAGTGGCCCGTATCCAGAGCTTGTGGGCTGTCTCATGTACCTGATGACCTGCACTCGACCTGACCTGGCATACCCTCTTAGCATCCTTGCGCGCTATGTCGCTCCTGGTCGTCACAGGAAGGAGCACATGGATGCCGCTAAGAGGGTGTTGCGCTACTTGTGCAGTACGTCGGGCATGGGGCTAGTGCTTGGAGGGCGAGACCGAGTTGTACTCACAGGACACTCAGACGCTTCTTGGGCAGACGACCAGGCTACTCAGCGGTCGTCTCAGGGTTACACCTTCAGCCTTGGCTCTGGCTCAGTTTCTTGGCGTTCTACACGCTCTTCTTCTGTTCTCAGCTCCAGTTGTGAGGCTGAGATCTACGCCACAGCCATGGCTGCCCAGGAGCTACGCTGGCTGACCTATCTGCTGACCGACCTGGGAGAGCGGCCTCGTTCTCCTCCAGTGCTGTACGTCGACAACAAGGCTGCCATTGCCTTGTGTGAGGAGCACAGACTGGAGCACAGAACGAAGCACATCGCCCTGCGGTACTTCCTTGCTCGAGAGCTGCAGCAGCGCAGTCAGCTTTGTATTCGTTACGTGGCCACTGAGGCCAACACTACTGATGTGTTCACCAAGGCGCTTCAGCCTTGTGACCATCAGCGCTTCTGCACTCTGCTAGGCCTTGTGCCTACTGGACCTCATTTGCTTACTTCTTGACCCTGCTTGTACTGTGATCACTATATATATATATATATACCTGCATGTTCACTCTTGCTAGGTTGTGATCACTGTATCTCTTGCTCTATTATAAACCTGCATGTGGACTGGTCTTGTGACCGCTTGCTTGTGCTCGGAATTTGTGTGGAATCCTTGAGATCCACCCTGAGCTTGCCTTCCTTTGCTTTGACTGGTCTCGTGACCCTGTGGTTGTCTCCCACTGCGCCTATGGGGGTGTGTCAAACATTATATGTTTATATGATTGTAGGCTGTAGTGGGTTACACCTTAGGGGGTACACTAGATTAGGGTTTCCTACTTGTATCCAACTTTGTGCTAGTACAGTCATTCCTCGTTCAGTTCTTCTGACAGACACAAAAAAACGCACAGTGCGACACAAAAATCGTCGCAAGGGCATGACGCAACAGCCACAACGATCGCAACCCTAAACACACCACACCCCCCTGACCATCTGCAAAACATGCAAATTTATACGTGTGACTTTTCCCGACGTCAGTCAGGCAGGCACGCAACTAGAGCGAGGGCAAGCTAGCAAGCAGTGTACGCCGCGCCCCTTAGCACACATCGCCTACCACGCACACCACGCTCGCACTTGTCTGAACATAGGGGATCCGACGCCACCCTTCGTGGGAAGCGACAATCACCGCGCCGTAAAAAAAAAAAACGCATCAAGAGAGTCGGCAACGACGTGATGGGAGTGGCGGGACTGGGACATGCAGATGTTTCGTGAGGGGAGCATCAAGGAATGGAATGGCGTGGGAAGTAAGTGTGGTGTGAGGAAAGAGTGAGGGAAAGGGACTTGAGGCGCGACGGAAGGGGAGTGAGAGCGTGGGGGAAGGGGACCATGCGGGGGGGGGGGGA